GTATTTGTTTTGATTTTTTTGTAAGGAATATGTTTGAAAGATGCTTTGTTAATTGATTTTTTAATTTGGTTCTATATGATGTTCAGATCTTCTACATTCGTGATTTTTGAGATTAGGTCTAACAGATAATTGAAACTTTGTTCTATTTGTTGTTAATAAGCTTCTATTTGAGTAGGTTGTATTTGTCCCATATGAATAAAGTTTTTGTATAATATAGAAGTGTAGTGAGTTTATTTAGAAAGATTGTTGTTTCAAGAGTGATTATTGAGTGGTCTGATATAGTGAAAGAATTTGGTAGGATATCTGTATAGTCAAGAAGTATGATATAGATGTTGGTCCACACTTGGTTAATTCTACTTGCACTTTCATTATGAGTATATGTAAATTTGGTGGTAGTTGGATGGAAAAGTCAGAATGTGTCATAGAGATTTTGGTGTTTAAAGATTTTGAGAAGTTGGTTTTCAGAGATATTGGTTTTTTTAAGAGGTAGTCTGTTAAGTTTGGGGTTTGGAGTACCATTTAGGTCACCCATAATTATAATTTTAAAATGAGTAAATTATAAAATAAGAGTTAGGTAGGTAATAATTTCTTTGTGCTGTTGTGTTTTCTCCTGTGTTGGAAAGTATATTTGAATAAGTTTTGTGTGATTGTTTTTGAAATGGAAATCAATTTCAATTATAAAGTTTTTAAAGCTTTGAATTTTTCCAATATATTTTGCTATTTGCTTGTGAATTAGGATTCCAACACCTCCCTGATGACTATTACTGGGTGCTCAGAAGTTTTGGTAGTTAGTAAGATTTTTGGATATAAAGAAGAATTTTGCTTCTTTTAAGTTTAGATAAGTTTTTGAGATGCCAAATATGTTGATTTGGTTTTCTGTGATATAGTCTACTAGGCATTGTTGTTTGTAGCTCTCTAATAGACTATTTGTATTGAGGGAGTTGATTCTAAGTATGTAAGTTAGTATTTCATTTTCTGTAGAAGGTGAGTTTGTTGTTTGGTAGTTAGTAAGATTAGGAAAATTAGCAGATTCAAAAAAGGTGTTTTGGTTAATTAGTGGTTGTTTGATTTTTGTACGGATTGGTAAATTATAGAATTTGTAGTAGAGGTGAGGAGAGAGTATGATGTGATTAGAAAGTGTTGGTTCTTTTGTATTTGTATAGATATAGGTTTCAGTTTGAGATGCATTTATTGAGATTTTGAGTAGAAGTAGATATGATAGTTTTTGTAAGTGTTTGAGAAATAAATTAAGTGTTTTATTTTTACTGAGTGTAGGAAGATTGTTTATTTGTAGAAAGTTATTAAAACAGTTAATTTCTTCAGTGTGAGGTGATGTATTAGTAACTGAAGAGAAGAATAATTCTTCTGTAGAGTCACTCACTGTATATCCAGTTTTTACAGTTATACAAGAGTCCAAAGCCTGTCCTGTACATTGGGTCTGGCTATCATAAAATTGGTCTTCCACGTAAATGAACTTTTCTGCCCATCCACTTACTACATTCTCTTCTAGAAATAGCCCACAGTTAGTTGAGGATATCATTATTCTAGAAGTGGCAGTTGTCAAAGAACTTTTCTAATAAATACAACTATTTAACTATAAGTTTTTTTACTCAAAAAAACTATATTTTTCTGCATATAGCTTTCAAACCTTCTAGAATAGTTTAACCAAAAAGTTTAGCAACCAAGAAACAAATGCCAACAAAATTGGAAAACTCTTAGAAATATTACTAACAAATCTAAATAAACAAAAATAACCTATACTCTAAATCTTATAACTACTTTATCACACCAACAAAATCTAACTACAATTAATAATAATATCAATACAAATATACAAAAATAGTTTATTTAAAACTTTTCTATACTCTCATCATTAACTAACTCCTATTACTACATCTAAGGTATTCTTTCTCCTTTTCTTTAACTAGCAGTAGCTTTGTTGTAACTTAATTTAATATAATATGTTATACTATTTAGTGCCTATATAGAAACATTAATAATAGTTTAAAACTAATATCAACTTGATATTCACTATGTAACTATTTGTTTCTATATTTAATATATTAAATATAAAAAAAATAAACTATTACATATATTATATAGCATAGAAAGTTAAGTTACAGTGTATAAATTAGTTATGACATAATATAACTAATTTGATTTATCATAACAATACAGCATATACAAATATTACAATATGCCATAACTTAAAATAAAAAGACAAAACAACTTGTAACCTAGCTACAATATGGCTTATCTCAATGCTTAGAGTTTCTACTGCATCTCTAATGGTAAGGTTAGGTTCGAAATAATATAGCGTGACTACGGATCACGAGGATGATCATTACATAAATTGTATAAATTGCATATATTGCATATATGCCATATATTACATATCTGCCATATATTACATATCTGCCATATATCGCTTTTAAGCAATATATCGCATATATTACGTTTATGCAATATATGGATTAAATGCCATATATAAGATATATGCGATAAATACGTAGCATATCTGCCATAAATGTAATAAATTGTATATAAATTTTATATTATAAATAAAGGCCGTGTTGGCCCATAGAGGAGAATAACAACTGAACAGCTCTCCCAAGTTCGCTTCTAAATAAACTAAGTCATTTATTAAATAACTCCTACTACCTAACTCATACTTTCCTTAATTACCCCCGATATTCTACTAAGTGGCATAGTAGAATTATCTTCGCGAAGTCCATAGATTAATCCATGATTACCATACCCCACCCGAAATGATAATTGAGCCGTCCCTTAGTAGTAGAAAAGACGACCTAAGCTTTAGAACATCCGCCTGCCAAATCTAACCGCCTCTTTCGATATGGTCGTCCAGTTGTGATCAGAAATAAGATCGGTTTGGTCCCGGTGATCAAACCGCCCGTTCTCAATATATACGTATGTACTAATTTAAAATTAAGCCATCATACGTATTAATATCAATATATGCCCAAAAACAACATTTACCTTCACAGTCTAAATCAACAAAAACATTTTAAACCACAAATGCAACAAACATAATTACGTTTATTGTTTAGACCAACCAAATACGTTTAAAACCACAAACTCAAACTTAAATTAGAAAGATATTGCTGCAGCAGATGCTATGACAGTACTTGCTGGAGCTCTAGGAACAGGCAGTGAAAAGACTCTTTAAAATTGAGTATTTTCATGGTGATAGCACTCAGAACCCTATCACCCGTACCATAAGATTCTTAAATCTATAGATATTCCGAATCCACCTAAGTACAAAAATCATACGTGCATACTGTACGTGAGTAAATTATAAATTAGCATTTATTATTGTAAAACTAATTATTCGGACTCTCAGGTCCGTCTTTAACCTATAAAAGACAAAGTTACACAGCCCTTTAAAATGATTTTTTTTTTTGGCATTTCATTGATCCAACCTACGTACGTATCAGTAAATAAACATATGAGTGACATTAGAAATATAACTGCGCAACAGATTAAATTACTATAAAGAACGTATAACATGCATTTTTAAACTTTTCGAATAATTTTGAAATATGGAATTGTACGGACTTATTTTCTTAGCAAATAATGTTTCAAACTTCGTTCCTTTACAAAATGTTTCTGCTGAGGCAAAAAGTAATGTTTTCTATATTATTATTATTATTTTGTCATAATGGTAATATTTTTTTTATACTAATTTCCATTAAATTTTTCTAGTTGTTGATATGATTGCTGAAAGTAATTTATTTATTTAATATTATTAAATAATGTAACTACTATATCAGATATAGTCTTCACATAACGATAACCAATAACTTGTTTAATCTAGCAACGGTTTGTCAAACCTATAAAAATTATGAAAATGATATAATTGAAGCTATCTATAAATTCCCACTTTATGAAGCTGCAGCAGTATATAAATTTGAAGCTGAAATTGATGGAAAGAGAAAAGTTAAAGGGATTGTTAAAGATTCCAATAAAGCCGCAGAAGAATATGACAATGCAATTAAGGTTATTATTATTAAATAAAATATCTAAAATCTTACAAGCAAAAATAATTTATTTTATATTTGATATTATTTATACAGCAAGGTCATGGAGCTTATCTATTAGAAGAAGAACTTCCTGATATTTTTCAATGCACAATTGGTAATATCAAAGCTGGTCAAACGGTTATTATTAGGATCACTTACGTAACTGAACTGAAACACGATGCTGAAACTGAAAAAATTCGATTTGTATTTCCTACTGTCATCGCTCCACGATATGGTTTACCCAGCTATTCTCCTGAAAACGATGGGAGAATTCTTGTTCCTGGTGAAGTTACTTATTCTTCAAAAACTGATTGCTATTTGGAACTTGCTATTACATGTAGAATGACTTCAGTTATTCAAAGCATCGAATCACCATCACATCATATTTCAACTGAATTAAATATTGATGGTAATCCAAATGTCTCAAGGATTACTCTAGCTGAACAAATTACTTATCTAGAAAAAGATTTTATACTTGTTGTTAAAAGCCTCGATCTCGATAAACCAAGGTAATAAAATAATATTATCGACATTATATTAACTATCTCTTAATTAATTTTACTTTTTCTAATTTAAGGGCATTTATTGAATACGATCCTAAAACAGAAACAAATTGTGTAATGCTGACTTTAGTACCAAAGTTCGCTCTTAATACAATAATGTCAGAATTAATTTTTGTGATTGATAGGTAAAGTTTAAACGAATATAATTATAAGCAATATCATGTAATTCAGTAATAATCATAATTCTATTAATAATTAATAGGTCCGGCTCAATGTCTGGTGGTCCTGTTATGAGAGCATCCGACGCACTTCAATTGCTGCTTCGTTCATTACCTGAAAATTGTTTTTTCAATGTTGTATCATTCGGTACCAAATTTGATAGTTTATTCGAAAAAAGTCAACCTTATTCTGAAGAAAAGTTTTCACAAGCACTTAATCATGCTCAAATAATGACTGCAAATTATGGAGGAACTGAAATTTATAATCCTATAAAATGGGCATTTGAAAATTCAAGAAATGATATGCCCACTTCCGTTTTCATTCTTACTGATGGCAGGGTTAATAATGTTGATAGAATTATAGATTTTATTAAATCTTGTCAAGAAAAGAAAAAGGATGATTTAAGGTTCTTTTCAATTGGAATTGGTGATGCAGTTTCCTATCATTTAGTCGAATCTATTTCCCGAGTTGGCAAAGGATATTCACAATTTATTGCAAATACTGAAAGAATGGATAAAAAGGTTCTTGGCATGCTAAAAAATGCTATAATGCCTCCCATTAAAGATTATAACATTACTTGGACTGATGAGACCTTTAATGATGATCCGCCGATAGTAATTGAACCGATTGATAGACCAACAATTAGTATCTTTGGTGATAATACTACACCACCGCCGCCAGCTGTTCAAAACATCTTTTCTGACATGAAAGTTAAACAAGCACCATTTTTAATTCCACCAATTTATCCTGGTGCTCGATTTATAGTTTATTGCATTTTAGAAAAAGGCGTTGAAGCTTCTAAAGAAATTGTATTGAATGCAGAGTCTAATGATGGTCCGATGAAGCTTTCAGTTCCATTAGATCCTTTTATATTACAAGGATCAAAAATACACGCACTTGCGGCCAGAAAACTTATTCAAGATCTTGAAGATGGTACTTCAGTTATTCATAAGCATCCAAAAA